TCCTCCTCCTCCTCCTCCACCACCACCACCACCACCACCACCACTACCTCCTCCTGCTCTTTATTCTTCTTTTCTGGGATTACCCTTAAGGATGGTGGGGCAATATGGGTGAAAAATATAAAGGCATCCTTGGTTTGTTTTTCTCTTTAAGGGAATCAAGTTTTTACCATTAAGTTTGATACCTACTCTTGATTTGGTGTAAAAATACTGTCAAATTAAGAGGGTTTCTTTCATTCCTAACTTACAAGAGTTTTTGATTCAAGATGACTGATAATTTCTACAGTATTTATTCTTTAATTGAAAATATATTATGACTCACTCTGTGCACACATAAGCATGATCTCTCCAGACTGCACAGGAAAATGCCATTACATACTCTTCTCCTCCTTCTCCTCCTCTTTCTTCTTCTTTTGTGGGATAACCCTCAAGGATGGTGGGGGGAAATGGTGAAAAAATAAAAATGCATCCTTGCCTTGTTTCTCTCTCTAATGGAACCAAGTTTTACCATTAATATCATACTTACTCTTGTTTGGGGGTAAAAATATTGTCAAATTAAGTAAGGTTTCTTTCATTTCTAACTTACAAGATTTTCTGATTCAAGATGACTAGTAATTTCTATATTATTTATTTAGTTGATAAAGTATTATGCCTCAATCTGTATGCACATAAGCATGATCTCTCCATACTACACAGTAAAATGTCCTTGCACATTCTCCTCCTCCTCCTCCACCTCCTCCTCCTTCTTCTTTAGTTGATAATAAATTATGCCTCATTCTGTCTGCACATAAGCATGATCTCCCCAGACTACACAGAAAAATATCTTGGCACATTCTTCTTCTCCTCCTCCTCCTCCTCCTTCCCCTCCTCCTCCTCCTTCTTCTTCTTTTGTGGCATAACCCTCAAGGATAGTGGGGGGAAGTGGGTGAAAAAATAAAAAGGCATCCTTGGCTTGTTTCTTTCTTTAATGGAACAAAGGTTTTACCATTAAGTATAATATTTACTCTTGATTTGGGTTTAAAAATCTTGTGAAATTAAAAAAGATTTCTTTCTATCCTAACTTACAAGAGTTTTTGATTGACGATGACTGCTAATTTCTACATTATCTACTCTTTAGTTCATAATAAATTATGCCTCATTCTTCTGCACATAAGCATGATCTCTCCAGACTACACTGAAAAGTGTCCTTGCACATTCTCCTCCTCCTCCTCCCCCCTTCTTCTTTTTTTATGGCATAACCCTCAAGAATGGTGGGGGGAAATGGGTGAAAATAAAAAAAGGCATCCTTGGCTTGTTTCTTTCTCTCATGGAACCAAGTTTTGACCATTAAGTATTTTATTTCCTCTTGATTTGGGGTAAAAATCCTGTCAAATTAAGAAAGTTTTCTTTCATTCCTAACTAACAAGAGTTTTGGATTCAAGATGACTGCTAATTTCTACATTATTTATTCTTTAGTTGATAATAAATTATGCCTCCTTCTGTCTGCACATAAGCATGATCTCTCCAGGCTACACAGAAAAATGTCCATGCACATTATCCTACTCAAATATGAACTAAGTTGCTTGGAAAGATGAAAAGATGGCATGGCTACAGTGCCTCCTCCAACAAAGCTATGACTATAAAACAGTTTCTTTATACGTGGACAATGATAGGATTTTGTCTCAGGCATAGTTATCTTTTGACTATCTAGATGTGCACTTTTTCTACATTTCTCTGTGCACAGGAGAGCTATTATCTAGTATTAGTAAGCACATTTGAAAAAAATATGCAGAGAATCCTGTGAGTTCAAATGTTAGCTCTTTCACTTATCAGCTATGAGATCAGAGGTGAGTTTTTTAAGTCCTCTGAATTTGTTTTCCCACCTGCAAAATATGTATACTAATATTCCACTGTCTAGCACTGTTCCTGATATATAGTACTAAGATCTGAATACCATGCTAATATACAAACATATCAAACTTATATTAAAATGCTTACAATAAAGTTGATGCAGAGATGGTACATAGGTATTTATAAATGTGTCTGCATCAATAATGGGCTGCTTCATCAATAAAGATGTGGTGCAGACAGACTTACAAAGAATATACAGCAACAGCAAACTACATGCAAGTTATCATCTATACAATTCATTTCTATAAGACTGGTTAAGAAAAACCAATCTCACATACCTAGACAGCTCAGAAGCACTACCCTCCACTAATGGGGGGAACAATAGCAATTTCTTTTTTTTTTTTTTGAGTTGGAGTCTCACTCTGTCACCCAGACTGAAGTGGCCGCTCCCGGCCACCGCAGCCTCGCCTGCTGGGCTCCAGCGATCCTTCTGCCTCAGCCTTTCGAGTAGCCGGAATTACAGGCATGCGCCACCACGCCCGGCTGATTTTTTGATTTATTGTAGAGATGAGGTCTCGCTGCCCAGGTGGGTCTCGAACCCGCAGGCTCAGGCAATCCACTCACTTCAGCCTCCCAAAGGCGCGGGATTACAGGCTGAGCCACCGAGCCCAGCAATTTCATCTCCCGGTTGAAGCAAGAGGAGCTGATCTCCAAGTTCGACATATTCTTGACGAACAGCAAATATCACTTGATTTTTAACATCAGCCAATCTGAAGGGGAAAAAATATGATTAGACGTATCAATGCTGTGATAGGCCACAAATCTCTTTAGCCACAATAAAAGATATTACATAAATAATACTATGTAAAGCATCACCTGCAAAATTACTAATTAACTCATTCTATACACAAAGGACGTATCTTCTGAGGAACATACCTTTTCACTGCAAAGAACACATTAAACTGCTATCAACTCTTTATTGGAAGTTGCGTGTCATGGAGGATCAAACAAAGAAAGAAAACACCAGACTGGAAACAATATTTAAACCAGGTCAAAAGAAAATAAAACTTTCCAAATCCATGCATGGCCCCTCTAGGGGTCATCCACCTATGTATACAAGCCTACTAAGTAAAGCTATAAGAATTCCCACAAACTGTGCTTGTACACGTTATCCTATTCAAATACAGAAAAGTTGCTTAGAAAGATGAAAAGATGGCATGGTTCACAGAGCCACCTGCACATAGTTATAATAATAAAACTGTTTCTTCATATCTGGACAATGTAGGTTTTTTTCTCAGGTACAGTGAAATGTGTACAACAAGACCAGGTATCTCCATGCAGGTAACAGATTCAAGGTAAAGTAGAACAGAGGGCACACTATGTTTCATTGATTACCAGGGCATTGTAAGAGCACCTTAAAAGATGTGAAATCAAGAATCTAAAAATACATTGTTGAGTATCTTTTACAAAGCACTAGGACTTCCAGGTTAAACAGTTTTACAGACTTAAGTGAGACTATTAATATTCCACCTTCCAGTAAGTCACTTTCATATTTTGTTCCAAAAAAGACTTGAGCTAGGAATGATAGCAATTAAATTATAGATTTTCAAGAACCAGAAAATATTTAAATATTGAAAAAAGTTCAAATTCAATGGCATCTAGGATTTGCTGTAGCTAATTTTTCTTTTTTTTTCTTTCTTTTTTTTTTTTCTTTTGAGTTGGAGTCTCACTGTCACCCAGACTGGAGTGCAGTGGCCGCTCCCAGCCACCACAGCCTCAATCTGCTGGGCTTCAGCACTCCTTACACCTCAGCCTTCCAAGTAGCTGGAACTACAGGCACCCGCTACCACGCCTGGCTAATTTTTTTGATTTATTGTAGAGATGAGGTCTCGCCTGCCCAGGAGGATCTCGAACCTGCAGGCTCAGGCAATCCACTCACCTGAGCCTCCCAAAGGCATGGGATTACAGGCTGAGCCACTGAGCCCAGCTGCTAATTTTTCTTTTAACCTTAGAAATTTCTCTTTGAATTCTCTAAAGAGGGGGCAGAACAAAAAAGTTTAAAACACATATTTTTAACAAAATTTGTAACAATTTCATTTAATGTTATAAAAATGCAGATTCTACAAATTAAGTATTTTATAAATTATGAAAGAGGATATAATCATGTACCTCTGGGAGTATGCCAGCTCACTGTGTTTTGGGGATAAAATACCTCTGGCCTTTCTTAAATAATGTTGTTTTTCTAAATACTAGAGTTTAAGTTTTCAGTAGTTCCAGAAAAATATAACTAATGAGCCTTTTTGACAATAAGCATGGAAATTACCCTTTTTAGAAATGTTTATCAGTTATACATTTTTAAAATATTAAAAAATGCGTTAATCACATTTATTCTACAAACGTTTAACTACCCAGGATGTCGAGATTCTATCTCCTTCCATAGCTGCAATGCTTTTATTTCTTGTGGCACAGAAATGGTTTCTGAATGAACTCCTGCTATTTCAGCACTTTTTGCCAAATACAATACTTCAACCTGAAAATAAAGAAAATGCTCTTAAGAACTCATAGTACTTTTCTGTCTACCCATGCAGAGACGTTTTCTCAATTTTTAAATGTATTACTTTAGTCAAAGACAAATTTTATAAGTTAAATGAAATCATTCATAAAAAAATTTCATATATCTACAAACATAAATTTTGAAAAACTGTTATGTTTTAAACACAATTCAGACTAATTTCTGGGTGTCTTTTAAGTGTCGCAATAGCAGAAATCCTAATTACATGTCTTTATAGAAAACATGCTAAGCTTGTCTTTAGTTGACATAAAATTACAGCACCTTTTATAAACACCTAAGCAATGAACAAATATGAGTCAAGAGATGAATTACCCAAATAAACTAAATGACGACACTAGCGAAAAAACAGCCCCTTCATAGCTGCTAAATGAACTTTGATTCCAGTCTACATAACACTGGACCCAGTTGCTGAAGATTAAATTATGCAACACACACAACCTGACATTTATAAAAGCAAGAGGGTCTGAAATACAGGATAAACTGGTATTTCCCAGGACAAACCAGTGCCAACAGCCTGTTATCCCAAGGATCCGACTAGGTAAAACAGCTCACCAGTCGCTCACTACAAATTATCCTCTACAAAATAATCACAGGTTTGCAAATAATCAAGGATGTGTACATCCATAGGTGAAGCACATTTCTTCACAAGAATTCTTAATTGGATGCATTTTTTTTTAATTAAAAATTTAGCTTCGCCCAAAGGAATCATCTGACAAAAGGGGGGATCCAAAAAGATCCAGGAGATCCAGCCTGTCCGCGACGCCGTGAACTGGACACTAAGAGTTCACCGAGTGCCCTTGGCTTCTGTTGGGGCGGCTGGAGCAAAGCGTCGTGGAGGGGCCACCAGGGTGGTGTCTCTGGAGGTGACTGTGGTGGCGGCGGGGCGGTGGCGGTGGCAACCCGGAACCAAAGTCCAGGTCAGTGTGGATGTGTGCTGGGGGGGGGGGATGGCCAAGCGGAGTCTGTGGAGGGAAATGGCTAGACAGACACGTCCGGGAGGCCTCCGCACCCAGGCTCACATACACGCACCCCCTCCCACCTTACCTGGCACCGCGGCACCTCCCGCCGTGAGTCTCCCTGACCGACTCACAGCCGCTGAGTCCGGGACGCCGGATGACGCAGGGCGCAGGCGCAGCCTGACGGCACAATGCTGCTCGTTCCCCCGCCCCCACATGGAGCATGCGCACTACTTGCCCGGTCCCACCCTCCCCGCCCCTGGTGTTCCCACCGCACCCTGCTCCACAGAAGGATGCTTTCACTGCGGGAACGGTGGGACGGAGTCGGGATCGTGGTGGCGAGAGCGAGCATTAAGTATGGAAATGCTATAAGGGCTGACCACGCATGCCTCTCCGGGAGAAAGATTATGGTGCAGGAGAGCAGACTCCGGACTCCCCAGGACAGCTGTCACATGTGTTTGGAACCTGAGCTAATAACTGCAGAGGAGTTCAGGCTTTTCCACTCGCTCCCCTTTAGGCTTCCCCTCGACACTTTTAGCTATCTTGCCATCGGTATCTGATAAGTGTTCCTCAAAGGCTTAGAGTATTTGCCTTAACAGAACACTGGAACTCTCAGATTTCCACTTTTCCTGGTTACTAGCTCCTCAGTACTTTGCATGTTGCCCAATCCACATTCACAATGTCTTACCATCAAGAACTTTCGGGCTTTACTTCGTTGGTGTAGTTGTGTGGGTATGAGGTAAGTGTCCTTGCTCTTGGAGCTCACAGTCCTGGGTGAGAGAAAGTCTTTAACGGGAGTGGTGACTCTGGGTACCAAGGGTAATACTGGATATATGTTGTCCTTCATGAGGTGGAAGGAAGAAAGTGACTGGGTCACTTGGGGAGTGTGTTCTAGGAAGTCTCAGGGCAAGGAGAAGCTTGGGCTGAATCTGCTATTACAGCATCAGCAAAAGAGAGTTGGGGTAGGAAGTGAGGGGATTTCATTTACCTGTGCCAAGTAACAGAGATATAAAGTAGTAAAATGCACTCACAGGACAAATAGTTGGCAAGGCAGGAGTGCCCCCAATAAAGAAGAAGGTGATGGGAAGTGAGTCTTGATACACCAAGTAGAAGACCTTGGTAGGAAAACTTGACAAGGACAGATTAGCACCAAAATATATTCTGATAATGTTGCTAAGTATCAAGGATAAAGAATTATATTCACAATTAGACACAAAGACAAGGAAATAACGACAGTGGCCTTAGACTCCTCAGTGACATCGAATGCCAGAGAATGGTGATGTGCAATATCTAAAAAAGGCTGAGAATAAAAGCAAGACTAGTCATATTATGTACAGCCAAACTACTGCGTATAAAGACAAGAGTCGACGAAAAATTCAAAAAATACAATATCCAAGAACTCTTCTTAAAAATTCTTCTTAGGCAAAAAGTACACTCAAAAAGAGTAATCAAAGTAAATAAGTCAAAAAACTAAAACAACTGACATTGAAATTATAATCCAGTCAAACATAAAACAACATTGTCAATTATGGAATTATGGTTATTGAATAAAACATAAATGACGCCAGAATATTAAAAAATAAAAATGGAAACTGTTCAAAGTTGAAACGTCATTACAAAATATTTATTCAAGTTTCTTAGTATTTTCTATAATTTTATTTCTTTATTTTAGAAAATCTTTTAGGAGTAACTATCTCTTGTGAACAAATAATAACCTGATGATTTGTAATTCCATCAATGTTTCTTATTTTGTTGTTGATAAATTCAAGTAAATATATATTGATAATAATGCCTTTTTTCAATTTCATTTTGTAGTTGTTAGTGAGGTGAATCTTTTCTTATTTTCATTGACCACTTGCACTTCTCGGTGAAGTTTATGTTCATGACTTTTACTCATTACACTGTATATATAAAACATGTCTTTGCAAAATAGACAGCCCTTCCTATAATTTGTAGCTGTGCAAGAAAAATTAAAACCAGAAAATTCCCAACTTGTTTATTTTTCATTAATAGATCAGAATGCAATATAATAAGTTATTTTAGGAACAACAAAACAACTTAGTAACAAAATTTGCTTTTCACTTAAGCCACACCTTATGATAAAAACATAATTTTCCCAGTTATTTTTAGCATGAGGGTTCCTATTTGGTTTAAAGCAATAAAAATAAAAATGTAAGTTGAGGCAATAGCACTTTCATTTTATTTTCAGATTAGCTCCGTTGAGACTAGGTATGGGAGCATCTCAGACATTCACAGAAGATGCCATTAAAATATCAGAAATTCAACTTTGCTTATAGTAACAAGTTATTTTTTAAAAATTCACTGCTTTTCCTGAAAAATAATTTTTCCGACAAATAATTCTGTCAGAATTAGAGCTCATTGTTTTAAAAGAAAAAGTTTAGACTAATTAAATTTAACAGAGTTTAATCAT